GATTGGGGACCCCCCCTTCTGCCTCTCCCGTGGGGGACACCCCGAATGAGGACCCCCCCCGAATGGAGATCTCCTTACACCTCTCCCAGGGGGACGCCCCCGAATAGGGATCCCCCCCTCCGCCTCTCCCTGGGGGACCCCCCGAATGGTGACCCTCCCCACCTCTTGAATGGGGACCCCCCTCCGAATGGGGACCCCCCCTCTGCCTCTTCTTGGGCGACAGCCCCGAGTGGGGCCCCCCCTCCGAATGGGGACCCCTCTCCGCCTCTCCCGGGGGAACACTCCCGGGGGAACACCCCAAATGGGGACCCCCCAGCTGGGGACCCCCCTCTGCCTCTCCCAGGGGGACACCCCGAGTGGGGACAGCCCAGAACGGGGACCCGCTTCCACCTCTCCCACAGGGACATCTCCAAACGGGGACTTTCTTCCACTTCTCCAAGGGGGGACCCCTCCAAAGGCGATCTCTTCCAGGGGGACCCATGCCCACCTCTCTCGGGACCCCCGAGTAGGAGACCTCCTTCCATCTCTCCAGGGGGAGGCCATTGGCCACCTCTCCAAACGGGGGACCTCTTGCAAGGGGACGTCTCCCATTCGGATGTCTCCAGACAGGGGACCTGCTCTGCCTCCTCCTCCCAAGGGGACCTCTCCGACGAGGACCCTCTTCTGCCCCTCCAAACTGGACCCTCTGGCCTCTCCCAGGGGGACATCTCCATATGGGGGGAGCTCCTTCTACCTCTTCATGGGGACCCCCTCCCAAGGGATGCTCTCCAAGAGGGACCTGTATTCACCTCTCCAAGGAGATCCTCTCTAAGTGGAGGACCCTCTCCCACCTCTTCAAATAGGGGAACCCCTCCAAAGAGACCACTTCTGCCTCTCCAAAGGGGACACCTCCACATGGGAAGATCCTTTCTGCCTTTCCGAGAAAGGACCTTCAAAGGGGGAACCCACGCTAAAAGGGACTCCCTCCAAGGGCTCCTCTCCACCCTGACCCCACCTCTCTCCCTTGCCTCCAGGCTTTCTGATCTCCAAGTGCTGCTTCCCCATCTTCAAAGCCAAGAACGGCAAAGCCAAGCGAGTCCGGACCATCTTCACCAGTGACCAGCTGGCCCGGCTGGAGAAGGAGTTTGCGCGGCAGCAGTACATGGTGGGCACGGAGAGGTGCCTGCTTGCCTCTTCTCTGCGCCTCACCGAAGAGCAGGTAAGCCCCACCACGCTCTGTCTCCTCCTGCCCCACCAGCAGGTCCAGGGAGGCTCCCAGACCTGTTTGCCAACGGGTGGGACCTGGGCCATGTCCCTCAGCCTGGGGCAGGAGCCCTGTGGGGTAGTAATTGCGGGTAGTTCACGTTAAAAGGCTGGAGGATCACAGATGGGGAAACTGAGTCACAAAGTGTCTGTCCCGAGGCCACATCGAGAAGAGAAGGCTCCGGGGTGACCTTAGAGCAGCCTTCCACGCACAGAATCACACACACAGAATGGTCATGGTTGGAAGGGACCTCTGTGGGTCACCCAGCCCAACCCCCTGCCCAAGCAGGGTCACCCAGAGCAGGCTGCACAGCACCACGGCCAGGCGGGGCTGGAATATCTCCAGAGAAGGAGACTCCACAACCTCCCTGGGCAGCCTGGGCCAGGGCTCCGTCACCCTCAGAGGGAAGAAGTTCTTCCTCGGGTTCAGCTGGAACTTCC